TAGCGCTAATGGATAAGCCATGTAAGATTAAGCATGAACTCTGATTTCTGTGTATGCTCAAGAATATGAATGTGAACCTGTCTTCGATATGAACTCTGATTTTTGAATTAGTTATGGGACATTATTCATTTAACCATTTACTCTGTTATTATTCATTGGGCTGCTATTCACTATTTATATTATTTATGTAGGTGATCAGGCGCGTGATCAGGCTTAAGATGATGCCTGAAGAGTTTTGAGTTTGTTAGCTACCCTTTGTGCCTCCCAAGGAGGTTCTGGATCATGTCAAGTCTTATGGCCATGTTTTTGTGAATATTTAAGGCTTTGTTCCTTTTGACTTGAATTATGGACAAAATTTCTATTTATCTGTACAGTACATGGGGTGATGTGTAACTACTGTATCTTTTGACATCACATGTATGCTTAAAAAGTTTAAGATTATCAGTCTCATGTTTGTTTTCACAGCTCATGGACTATGTATATTTCTGTATATTGCTTTCGCAGCCCCTAATTATATGTCATTCTATTTAGAGGCCTTTGGTAATCTAAGGATTACTGGCTGGTTACGATGCTAAACTTATAGGGGCGGATTTGGGTCGTGACATGGGCCCAACATAATGCGGAATGGCCTTAGGCCCAATATAGTAACAGCTATTCTGAACGACCTCAGGTCCAAACATTTCTTATCATAGGGAAGATAAAACATCAACATGTCTCTATCCCCTACGGCCTTAGGCCCATAATTCATAAGCAATCCATATCAAACATAACGGCCTCAGGCCCATCACTTATAACAGAAACAAAACAACCTTAGGTCCACATTTCATTTGTTCATTACCATTCATCAAGCATCCTTTACTACTCGTAATAAGACATTCTATAACGTTCGTATCGCATTTATATCATAATCCAATGTCATATATATATATATATCATTCAATTGTTCCAAAATAGCAATTAGCCACATCGTTCATATCAAAATAAAATAAAGAATTAAATAAAAACATATATTTACAATACTATTACTCACTGTGATTTGGTTGTGCAATGGTCCCTTCCGGTGAGTGACCTATACATTCAGCACATACAAATTTGATAAGCAATCCATTCTTTTATTACTTTTTCTCTTTAATCATTTTTCCGTTTCGTTCAATTTATATTCATCTTTAAGCATTTCGGGAGGGCTTAAATACACACATTAATAGATTCAGAGGGTCGAAAAGATAAACAAAATGTATCAATTTTCCTCTATGTTTCCTGCACGTACGGACGACCCGCACCGCACGTGTTTTTTATTTCAGAATGTTCGACTTGCTTGCTTTGTTTTCCGTACGTGCAATTATGAACCTCGCACGTGCGGTTATGGGCTCTGTTTGTGCAATCCGAAAATCCAACAAATTCAAGCTTTCCAAATGCATTTCTAAGGCCCAATTCAAGCACTTTCACTTCAAAAACATGACATATAAACACAATAAGCATGAAACTCAAGCTCAAAGAGATCATAACTTACTTTAATTTGATATATAGAACCCTAATTTCCATATTTCCTTAATTTCCTTCATCTTTTTATGTTATACGTGCTGTATATGCTTACATAAGTTCAAAGCATGCAAAGACTCAAGATTAAATCACAATTTCTCACAATCCAATCCAAATCAAACTAAAAATAAAGGAATTAACTCTTTAATCACACAACCCAAAGATTACATGTTCATTTTCACGAAATGTGTTCACTCTAGATCATAATTTATAAACCCTATAACTCATTTCATGAGTCTTTCTCGAGATGGAACTCGAATCATGCAAAATCAAAGGATTTAAAGTTCAATTTCTTGAATTTAACCCATATCATCCATAACTCAAAACCCTAGTTCATTTAAATGTTAAATCTTCAACTAAATCCTTGATTCTATGAAATTGATGAGTTATCTACAAGGATCAAAGATAGATTAACTTACCTTAGCTCAAATCTTTGAATTCTCCCTTGATTTCTTCCAATTCCTAGATTCCTCTTCCCACTCTCTCTCTTTCCATCTCTTGTTCCTCCCCAAGAGATATTTTATGAGTCCCTAAGCTAAGACTCACACACATATATAGATAATTTAAGCTAATCACCAATTAGGCTTAGTTAATAAAGCTCACATTAACTAAAACTAAAATTTAAGCTAATTAAATGCAATTAATTCATTATGAATCGTAATTTTCTAAAATTTCCCAATAAGTTCCAAAAATCATGCTAAACATAGATATAAAGTCGGTTTTGGCTTATCGAATCTTTAAGGCTTTCAATTTCTAGTCTAAAGGTTGTAATTTCAATAGAGTTTCTCATAACCGACAGATACAAGTTTATAAACATGTAATTCACACATTTAAACATGGAATTTCACGTCAAGCACATATGCTCACATATAATCACATCTATAATGAGAGAATTAAAGCATATAAAAGAGTCGGGTTGTTACAGAAGTGTTCTCCGATTATTGTGAGCTCTCTTTCTCTCTCTCTCTCCAACTTCTGTGATCTGAAATCATCACGATTTGATATTGGAAATTGCCATCTCCGGCATTGTGAAAGGCAATTTCCGGCGTGAACCAGAGCTTTCTCTCTCTCGTAATTTGAAAATATCGCGATTCCGACAGGAATCGCTCGTTTCTGAAAGAGAATGAATGACTTCTTTATCTCTTTTGCGATCTGAGACTATCGCGATTCCGACACGAATGACTTCTCTTTTTCTCACAAACCAGAGGTGATGGCTAGGCCATTAACGGTGAGGACTTCTTGCAGACAACCGGTGGTGGCTAGGGTTTGCAAAATTGTAATGAAAAAAAAAAAAAAAACACAATTTATTTCAATTAACTTCCATTTAATTTCAAAAAAAATATTTCAATTAATATTGAAATAAATTGTGCAATTTATATCCATTAAATAAATTGCACAATTTATTTCACAATTATTGATATAAATTGCACAATTACACAATTGAAATAAAATTCTTGTTGGTATTGTAATAATAATAAAAACAATTGTTTTAATTCATATTAATGAAAAAAATGAAATAATAAAAAAATAAAATAACTTCTATTAAATGAAATAAAAATAATGAAATAACAATTGTTGTAATGAAATGTATCAATTTTTATATTAATTGATACTAATTATATTAACTTTTATTAAGAAAATAATTTTTTTTTAAATTAAAATTAAAGAAAATGAGAAAATAATAATTTTTATATTTTATAAGGGCAAAAAGGATATTACACAATAAAAAACTATTTTACAACGGGGTTTTTTTTTTAGGGTCCCTGGTATTAAGACTTTATAGTATAAAGGACATCTAATATTTTCATAATGTCTAAGGTCCCTCAACATTGATCCAGAGAAATTTCAGTCCAGAGAAATTTCAGCCCAGAGAAATTCCAGTCCAGAGAAATTCCAACCCAGAGAAATTTTTTCCAGAGAAATTCTGGATTGCACAGAGAAAATCTCACATTTCTCTTAACTTTCTAGAGAAATTCATTTCAACCCAGAGAAATTTCTATCTCTAACTCAGAGAAATTCACTGAAAACCAGAGAAATTCTCATCTCCAATTCAGAGAAATTCACTTAACTCAAAGAAATTCTCCCTCTCCAATCCAAACCAGAGAAATTATTCTTCTCCAATCCAGAGAAATTCCAATTTCTGTGATTGGGATGCCAGAGATGGAAGCAAATTTCTCTGCTTTAACATCATGGGCAACTTTGTATACATCAAGAAGATAAATACAGAGGGAAAAAAATGCAATGGGATTTATACAAATTAAGCATTCCAGGTTCGAGCTCGAAACCAAAGAATTTCTCTGGACTAACCCAGAGAAAATTCAGTTAAAAAACCATAGAATTTCTCTGGTTTTAATCCAGAGACATTCAGTTCAGCAATCAATTCAGTTAACTAAAAGGTACCTCCTGTAGATGAACCGATAAACTTGTAGGTGAACTTTCTTGATGAGGAAATGCAGCATTTGGATCTCCTGGCAAATTTCCATCTCTAGCACTGTAAGCTAAATGCTCATCTGGAACAAAAGAAGATTGCCCAGAATTGATGGATGCAGACTCCTGCAGATGAACCATGGGTGGCCTGTGTGGGGGTGCAGCTGGAGGTGGATACTGTTGATAGCTCGTTGCATGAAGTGACGGCTTAGCCACATCAGGATAACGAGGATCAGCAGTTTGTGTATACTGATCATGATAATGACTCTGTTCTTTCGGTTTGCCAACTGGTGTATACTGTGATTGTGAATGCTGATTATCTGTTGCAACTTTGGCTGCTGCCTACACTCTGGCCTTGGCAGCCGAATCTTCTTCATTGAAGCTTCAGCACGATGAATAGCAGAGACGGCAATGAAGACGCTGGCGTGGTCGACTGGAACGAGACAAAGGCGGTGAGCGACGGCGATGGAGTGGAGATTCCAAGAGGAACGAGTTGATGAACAGATGGATTTGGTGCAGCGAATCGCCCTTGGCAAGTAAGCTTCGTATCTGAGCTCTAAGACTTGGTTGCCATCGAAGGTGTTGCGGGTAAACTCTGCGTTCAGCTGTTCAATCAGAAATTTATGGAGAGGCAGGCCGGGTCGCGGATCTGGGCGGCGCAGAGGTCTGCGACGGTGGCGAAGCGAAGAGAGAAGTCGGAGGAGAAGGCGTTGAGGAAGAGGTCGTAGAGGAGGGTGGAGGAGCAGAGAAAAAAGAGAGAAAGAGAGGAGAGACAAAGAGTCAAATTTCTCTGGTATATGTTTAGGGACCTTAGACATAAAAAAAATAATTTTGTGGATCTCTTCCATTACGAAAAGTGGAAAAGGGACCTTAGACTAATTATCCCAACTTATTTAATTAAATATTACTCTTCTAATTAAATTCATAATTTAACAATTATACTAAATAAATTAATAATTTTTGATTAAAATTACAATCAACAATATAATCTGTTTTAATAATTTCACCAAATAAAAATGTAATATTAGCGTGCGGCTTAGGCGTACTTACTTGGGTCGGGTCCGTTATTCGCACAACAGAGAGTAGTAGGGAGAGAGAGAGTGTGGGGGAGAGGGAGAATGGAGACGAAGACGAATGAAGAAGAAAGGAAAACAACGGTAGAAGAGTTGGAGGGATCAGAGATAGAGTACTTGAGCTATGGGGGTGAACATCACTTACCCCTTATCATGCGCCTTGTCGACGAAGAACTTAGCGAACCCTACTCCATCTTCACCTACCGATATTTTGTCTATCTCTGGCCCCAACTCTCTTTCCTCGTATTCACTATTCTCTCTCTCTCTCTCTCGAATTTCATTGAACTCTCTCTTCCTTATGTACCCATCTGATTATTATTTTTTTTTTTTTTTTTTTTTTTTTTTTTTTTTTTTTTTTTTGAGTGCCGATTGGTGCATAGAATTGTACAGTATTAATTAATTGTAGTCGTATGTGTAAGTAAATACGTACTCGTGGTGTCTGTGATTTTCAGGCTTTCCATAGAGGCAAGTGTGTTGGAACTGTCGTTTGTAAAATGGGAGAGCATCGCAATACTTTCAGAGGTTATATTGCAATGCTCGTCGTCCTCAAGCCTTACAGAGGCCGTGGCATCGGTATCTCTCTCTCTCTCTCTCTCTCTTCTATTGATTTTGGCATTGCATTGCGTCCAGAGACATGTTGGTCTCTTTATTATCCAAATATTTGGTATATGTAACAACAACAATCCAGAACATTAATATTGGGTCTTCTTATGAGGCCTAAGACCATCTCCAAACGGGGAACCAAAATTTTCACCAAATTTAAGTTAAAAAAAAGCTAATTTTCTCAACCTGATATTTCTTCCTCCAATCGTGCATCAAAAGGCGAGGGTTGACCGGCCGGTTGACTGGTAAGGTAAATTTTTTTTTTTTTTTTAACGTTGTTGAACCTTTTTGACCGGTTTGAATCTATCTATTTGAAAGGAACCGGTCGACCAGTTGGTCTCCTCCAACGGTCACGCATAGTAAAGTAGTGAAATCTGTACCATGTTCTCACTTTAATGAATTTTTTGTTGAATTCTCATTTTGATACCAATTTGCTGAAACCATTGGAGCTCCAAAAAGTGACTTTTTCACCAAAATTTAAATCTAATGCCAGGTTTGGTTCACCGTTGGAAATGCTCTAAAGCATCACTTTAGTCAATTGGCAGCTAATTATTAGGGTTTTTTTATTTTATTTTATTTATTTAAATATTTTATTTTATTTTTATTTTATGAGCCCCTAAGCTAAAGTATCACTTTAGTCCATTGGCATCTAGTTTAGAACAATATCTGGTTTCTTAGGAAGACATAAAGATTATCATGTTAATCACTTTTCATCATTCTGTTAGTGCCCACTAATTGGGCATAATCATCCCCGAGCAATGCTAAGGACCCCAAAAACATCAACCAAAAAGGGTGTGGGACCCACGCCATATGGGAGCCACACCCATGTGACTAGTGAACAGATTATTTGGACAATTTTTTAGTGCCGCTAGCATTTTTGAATGTGGCAGTGTAACTCTTGATAATTTAATCTCGGCTGAAAAGGCCGATCCACCTCTATGTTCTAAACTGATTGTACTTATGGATACAATCCTAAGATGGGTGATAAGCAGCTGTATCTGAATCAAGCATACCATCTCTTCTCACAAAAGTGTTTTCATTCCTAATGTATCTCCAAGTCTTTGAACTGGAAACAATAGTACATCTGCTAGAGACAACCTCCAGGTTAACCCAATTATGTGACAAATATGTTAACACTGCAAACTGTCATAAATAATATGACACAACTGATTACTTGATCAGTAACATTTTTAATACCAAACTTGGTGAGGTGTGCCTTTGTGTTTCAAACATTAGATAAAGTCTCATTCTTTATTTGATAGCTACTTTGTCGGCTTAATACTTTGCTCTGTGCTTTCAACGTTATTTATTTGATAAATTAGTTATTACAATTATGTGTAGTTGTATACGTTCTTTTGTATACTCTGGGTTTAAAGTTGTGGAACCCTTTTTGTTGGAATGATCCATGTTCTATAATTAACAGTAGGACTACTCCTTTCTTAAATCATATGTAAGTTACTTGTCATTTTTCTCCCCTTTTTTCTGAATGTTATTTGGTCTAAGTCAATTTTCTCATATTGCAGCTACAGAACTTGTGACCAGATCTATTAAAGTGATGATGGAATCAGGTTGTGAAGAGGTATGCTGTAAATATAAGAGTTTTATGCCTTAAATTATATATTTTATAATGACAATTAGTCCTTCTTGCTTTCTCATCTCTTTGTGCCTAAAGTTGAAACTGAATACTGTTCTCCAGGACACTGTGAGAGGGAGAGCTGATCTATAACTTAAAGTAGAAGAAAATCTTGGATTCTTTAACTCTATAATGGTTAAATTTTTTTTTTTATATATATATTTTTGGGAGCCGGGGGGGGGGGGGTGAATTTATATAACACTTGTTCATATACATGTTTTTAAGTATCACTGGACTAAAATACTAGCATATTCCTGTTGCTAATATTGCTTGGCTGTCGTGATTATATAGAGGGGAAAAAAAGCTACTTTCATGACCAAGGGAAGGGAGGCTAATTCAGAACCATCAAAATTTGATAATTTTCCTTTTCTTCTTCTTCTTTATGTGTGTGTGCATGTTTTTTGTGGGGGAGTGTTGGGTTTGTAGCTTTATAAGGGTAGGAGACTATTTTTAAAGGGACTGCAAGTGGCTTTTAAACAATTGGGTATTGTAACTCTGGAAACAACTCAAGACGAATTGAATTGTGCAGGCATACCAAGATTGTAATGTAGTCCGAATAAGGATCTGACTTCCACCAAAGTCGTGTGTAGCTTAGGGGAAATAAACTATCTGGTACTTTTATTTCCTTAATGAAGAGGACTTGGCAATATCTTAGCTAGAAGAATGAAAATGGCTAGGCCAAATGAAAATGGAAATAACCTTGAATTGATGAAAATCAGCCAGCACAATGCAGAACTTGGAAATTAAACAAAACTAGGTAAAAACTAATGTAACCGGATCTTGGAATTTTGAAATTGAAATATGAACATGCATTGAACATGAAATAACAGGAAGCCTAAGCTTGATGTGGTTAATTGGAAGCATGAACTTGATTTTGTTTGAGTTGATTAGCCGTGTGTCTTGTCCTTTGTTGCTTTGTTTTCTTTCTATAGTTCCGGGAAATAACGGCTAGTCCTTCTCGTAGTGCCAAGCGTCCCTTGACTCCCTTGTCTTGGTCTTCACTTTTTTGTTCTCAATTATCTTGTACTAGCCTTGCATGGAGGATTAAACGCATGTCCTTGTCAAGCAGGGTGTTAAAGTAATGTGAAAGTATGTAAGCGTAAGGGCACCCTCACCTCAATAGCATCTTTTGGAGTTGAGTCCTACCCAAGACCTTGTTACAAGGTATTAGAGCTGAAGTACCAGGGATGGGTATGGTGCATGTGTCTCTAGCTTGTGCTGCTGGTGCTGTTGAGTGAGCACGTTGCATGTGAGGGAGGATGTGAAGCGAAGTGTCACATCACCTAGGTATTAATGTAACATGAAGTATATAAGGGTGAGGGCACCTTTACCTCAAGACTGTGCAAGAGTCCCTTCTCTTGGTTTAATGCTTCCATGTTACCAGCTTATACCATATCTCTATGTGCCATGTGTCCCACTTAGTACAATTGACCACGTACAACCTGGCCAACTTGTAACCAAATCCCTACATAATAGGGTCTGGTGAGAGAGAAAAAAATGGGCGTAAGCCTCCCGCACTCGGGTGAGGCCTTGTCCATATTAACCGCCTGCCACTATCCTCTCAACGCATGGTTACACGCCCTGCACAAGACTCTTTTTGGTTACCTCTTTTAGTGATAGCTATGCCACTTGGTGCCATTACCTTGAGTGGTCAACTTTGGTACAAATAGGGATCCAGGCGAATGAAATGGAAAAATGGAAGAAGATATTGGCAGAGGTTATGAGAAAAAGACATGTTGAAATCTGGTTACAGAAGTTAAGCCCAAAGGGTTGGCCTGATGGCAAGGTCTTGGGTTTTAGGTCTTGGGGGTGTGCTCCTTCCAAGGTTTAGGGATTGAAACCTCTTGGGTGCTAATAATTCTTGGGGGCCATCGGATTGGGGAAAAACCCTTGAATTAATTGTGGTGCACTTGCAGAAAACTACTTGCCAAGGGCCTGTGCATCCCTGGGGATTAGTTAGGTTTTGATCCGGACACCCCAGTGCCAATGCAAAAAGAAAAAAAAAAAAAAAAAAAACAAAAAAAAAAGAGGAAAAGAAAAAGTGTGACTCTAGATTGAGCAAAATAACTAAACAAAATTTATGTTCCCGACCACAAAACAATGGAGAACAAGGACATTGCTGTTTGGTTAAGTTGGATACTTGATTGTATTATTCCATTCGAAGAAGCATGCTCTGTTTTGCTGTGGTCTTTCAATTTTGCTGTTTGGTTAAGTTGGATACTTGATTGTATTATTCCATTCGAAGAAGCATGCTCTGTTTTGCTGTGGTCTTTCAATTTCTATAGACATCCTCTGCACTGTATTTCTGGTAAACATCCTTACACTAGTTATTTTTGTTACGTGAATGTAGTCTACTTGCATTGATGGTTGTATAAGCTTGAGTATGGGGAGCATGTACAAATTTTTGGTTTGAAGTGTACATCTCCATGCATGCTCTTACCCAAATAGCATCGTATATGTTGTCTGCCACATTGCATTTGGTTAGTATCTTCACATTGATCAGCATGTAATTTGCACACAATATGCAATGGTCCCTTGGAAACTTCTCCTCAAAAAATGGGGTGACACCCATTCTTTAGAATCTTCATGTTTTTAATGCCTAGTAATTTGCTTGTGGAAACTTTTTTGTTTGTGTTTAACAATACATTTTTATACCTAGCTTAAAGAGTCACAAAGCCATTGCTTTTGAACCCAGTGCAACTGGACATCCCTGCCAAATGCTCTCTCTCATGCACGAGCACACAGGCACACACACAGCAAAACCTTAACTGGATTTTTGGGGATGGCTACTGGGATCCCCCTCTTTCAAATTAGGTCTGTCTAAAGCTCATTAGAGATAGTCATCTTGCGCTGGCATAACTATTCCATATATTCTGGGTCCCTGGAAAACCATATTCTGTCCAGCTTCTGCATATCCACAATGCATGATAACTTCCATTCGATTTGATTACCATCTTGAGGTGTTACTGCTAGGGACAGTATTCCTGGATTTTTCTATTGCATGTGCATGAAGTTGGATAAATGTTAGCTTAAAGTTGATATGGTTGCTGATGTCTTTTATGGATTTATTAGTAGCTAGATTGAAAATAAATACATGTTCTTCAAGGAATATCAGCGTATGGCTTCTAATAAAGTTTCTAAAACAGTGTTTCTTTTGTTTAAAGTATCCTCGATTTGGTTAAAAACATGCATAATGCATCTTCCTTTTGTTAAGTGTTGTGATTTTGATGTCATGTTGCCTGGATTTTTAATGAGAAGGAATTGAAGGGTACAATTAACTCATGATTTTGTGTTTTTCTCTCAAGGTTACTTTGGAAGCAGAAGTTACAAATAAGGGTGCACTTGCATTATATGGCCGTCTTGGGTTCATTAGGGCAAAAAGGCTTTTTCGGTACTACTTGAATGGAGTTGATGCTTTTCGACTAAAGCTATTATTTCCCCGCCCAGAGTTTCAGTCCTCTCTGCACATGATGGCAGACAGGAATGAGAACCATGGGCAAAAAGATATCATACCACCTGAAGAGAGGTCTTTGCTCGAAGAAAGCTTTTAACTTATTTTCGTACTCATAAATGTTTTATAACCGACTTTCTTTTTTCTAGGGAAGGGGAAATCACTTACTTTCGTTGTATTGTTAGAATCATGATAGATATCTTAATATTCTCTGTGACACAATGTAGCTATTTGAGATGTATTTCCTTGGCAATTGGCATAATGTTGATTTCTTTGAAATTGATGTTTCTGGTGGGTCAACCTGTTTTCTTTCCATTAGTGAAATTGTGATTCTTCTAACAAATTTTGGGATGTGGGACCATGAACATTATCTTGTTTCGGCAACAGGGAGGAACATCTTGAGCATGTGATTGAACATTGTGCTATGCAACTTTGATGTGGATAGGACTAAATTGGTGAAGATCTTAAATCTCTATGTCAAATGCTCATAATTAGCTTATGTGAAGATTTTATGATACGTTAATTTTAAGATATAACGTGACATATGTAGTTGTTTTGTAACAGATAACTTTGAAGACATAGGATCTGCTGCACTAATAGCTCAAGTTAAGGTTGTTCATGTGCAAATGGAATAGAAAGGATGTGTCTACTGTGGCTAAGAGAAGTGAGCCACAACAAATAATGAAATTATGATAAAGTTTCATCAGGGAGGGCAGGAGATTACCATTAACCGAGGTTGTTTTGCAGGTAGAAAAGCCATGATGGTAATTCATATGAAAGGGTACCCTTTTATAAAAAATCTCTCTCTCTCTCTCTCTCTAAATTTGGAAACCAAAAATAATTGCATTGGACATGGAAGATTGTAAATAATTACAAAATAGTGATTGAAAAATGTAAAATTACCTAAAATTACAATCTCACATCTTTCCCTTTCTCCCTTCCTTTCAAACCCTAATCAACCCACCTCTTATTAACCCCATCCTTGGCGCTGATAGCCTCTTTCCTACCTTGGCACCAGTCAGCCAGCCAGCCCCTCATTTTCTCTTCCTACTACTTGCCCATCTCGCCTCTATCCATTGTCCTACCATCCTCTACCCTCCTTAACTCCTCCCTCTCACCTCCCCCACCTTCCTAGCCTGTACCCCTTTGCCTTCGCCATCCATGTCTCATTGCAACCCCTCTCATATCCAGATTTGGCATGATCTGTAACTCCAATCATGTAGAATCCAAGTTGAACAATGATTTACTTACAAAAGTTAGAAAAGCTTTTTGTGGGGGGTGGGGGGAACAAAAACAAAAACAAAAACGTGTATTGGTAATAATATTTTCTAAATTGATCATGGGTTTGTTACGCCAACATGGATTTTCAGCATTTTTGTTTCTTTTTCTCTCTATAGCCTCTACAATCGAGTACACATGTTCTTTAACTCTTGTTCTGTAATGAAATTCAAAAATATTCAATTTTTTTTAACTTCTTACACTTGGACTCCAATTAGGATGGATGAAAATAAAAAAGAACTACATGATTGTTCCCATAGATCACGATATATCTCTTTATTTAGACATGGGAGGGTTTGTAGAGAGAGATAGGTGAGGAAGGGCCAGGGAAGAGAGCGAAGAAGAGAGCGAAAGAGGGTGAGGAGATGGCGGTGGCGATAAGGAAAGGGCTAGGAATGCAAAGAAGGGTAGGGGAGTGATCGGCAATTGAGGAAGGTAGGAGAGAGGCTAGCGGCGCTAAAGATAGTGGGAGAGGTGTTGGCCAATGGTGGTTAGGTTAAAGAAGAGATGGGAAGAGAGGATAAAGGAGGATATATTAGTGTTTTCATAATTTTTAATTGTTTTGTATTATTTTATTCTTCCAATCTTTTGTAATTATTTTTTGTTTTTTCTATTTATTTGAAAGTTGTCCATTTTCTTTTGTTATACAATATTTAAATGCTTTATTTTATTATAGGGGATTTTTTTGAAGGTCCTGGTATTAAAATTTTATAGCATAAATATTTTTATAATGTCTAAGGTCCCTCAATATTGATCCAGAAAATTTCTCTGGACTGATCTAGAGAAAATTCGATCCAGAGAAAATTTTACACATCACAGAAAAAATTTCTCTGGACACATTACAAAGAAAAATTTACACATCTCCAACACCAAATTCTCTAGATACATCACAGAGAAAATGTTACACATCTGTAACATCAAATTTCTCTGGACATATTACAGAGAAAATTTTACGCATCACCAACACCAAATTTCTCTGGACACATTACAGAGAAAATTTTATAAATCACCAACACCAAATTTCTTTGGATATATCACAGAGACAAATTTACACATCACCAACACCAAATTTCTCTGGATACATCATAGAGAAAATTTTAAGCATCACCAACACCAAATTTCTCTGGATACATCATAGAGGAAATTTTACGCATCTCTAACCTCAAATTTTTGTAGACACATCACAGAGAAAATTTTATACATCTCCAACACCAAATTTCTATGGACACATCACAAAAAATTTTTTACACATCTCCAACATCAAATTTCTCTGGACACATCACAGAAAAAATTTGACACATCGTTAATACTAAATTTTTCTAGACATATCACAGAGAAAATTTTACACATCCCTAACACCAAACACCAAATTTCTATGGACATATCATAGAGAAAATTTTACACATTCCTAACACCAAATTTCTCTGGACACATCACAGAGAAAATTTTACACGTTTCCAACATCAAATTTCTCTGGATACATCACAGAGAAAGCTTTACACATCTTCGACACCAAATTTCTCTGGACACAGGAAGTGAGGGTGAAACCTGAGGACGTCTGAGATCTACCCCAAAACTTGACAAAAATAAAAAAACAACCCGAAGAAATCAAGATACTTTACTTTGTACCCCTCTGCTGATCATGTCTTTGTACCTTCTAATGGAGTCCAGCCTATGCAACTTCAACTGTTGATGAAATCATCAGCCTTTGCATCAACATGTTCATCTTCTACAGCCTCCATTGAGACTTTACCCTTCTTTACCGTCGCTAGATGGCAAGCCTCCATGATTTCGTCCTCCTTGAAATGCGCAAAAGTCGACTTGGCGCTTGTCGACTTCCGAGCTTCTCCTGCAACTTGCCGGAGGCGGTGGGGTTGGTGTTGGACTTGGTCCTGTGTTTTGTGATGATGGTAGACCTCATCTAGACTCTTCAAATTATCTTTTGAGAAATGGGTTTGTTAAGAATTTTGATGGGTCTTTAATTTGGGGAAATTTTGAATCTGGGTTTGGGTTTGGATTGAAGTCTTGAAGTGAGGTTTGGATTTAAAGAGAGAGAGAGAGAGAGAGAGAGAGAGAGATGAAATAGGGTAGGTAAAGAGAAATGAGGTTTGATTTGAGAGAGTCAAATTTCTCTGTGATGCATGGGTGTTGGGTTGAGAGATCTTAGACAATACAAAATAATATTGTAAATTTCTTTCATTATTAAAAATGAGATAGGAACTTTAGATGAATTTTCTCTTTATTTTATTGTAGTCAGAGCAACTTGAGTGACATGCTATAAGAATTACAATATAGTTATTAAAGTTACATTATAGCGAGGGCTTTCAAAATTTACACTCTAATGATGTGATAAAGTTAATGATAAATTATAATATTGTTAAAATTGTGTCAATTTGAACACGGGATTTTTCAATTATTAAGATTTGACAATATTCTTTTTTAACTTCTTTCGTGATAGGATTACAAACAATATTTTTATTCGATATTGTATGAAAAATTTTAAAAAAATTCAATCGAGTAAAATTATCAAATCAAAATATAAACATTTTTGGAATAACTCTGACTTAAAGTTGAAATTTGGTAAGTCTACCAAAAAAGTTTGGGTTGTAGAAAGTTAGGTTTTTGACTTTTTAATTTTTTTATATAAAAAAAAAATCACAAAAAAATAAAAAAAAAAAAATCAATTCTTTATTAACTTTTAAAAAAAAAAAAAAAAAATCAATTCTTTATTAACTTTTCCAAAACACACTTACTCTCCCATGATTTACTGAAACTCTTCTCAAATTTTTGGTATTGTCAAATTTAATACAAAGTTTTACAAAACTCTCTACCTCTCTCATGCAGTCCCACAAATCGTATGTTTTTTTATTTAATGTTTTGTGAGTAAAGGGGGGAAAAAAATGCATTCTCACAATTAGGAAAAATTAATTGTCAACTTATCAATAGGTTTTATTTTTGAGAGTTATTACCTATTAAATCTTATTCTTTTATTTTTATAAATAAATTTATAATAATAAATATCAATCAAAACCTGTGAATAAATAAACTTAATTAATAAGACTGATTTGTTAGTGTCTCAATATTTTAGCATGGTAGCATGCTATGCTATGATTTGATTTTGACATTATCATTGAAGATGTTGCAAACATGCCAGCTTATAAATTTTGAATTAAGAAAATGACAAAATTATGAGAGAGGTTCCTAGGAGAAAGATAAAATAAAAAAATCTTATTGTCTGGAGTAATTATTTATCATATTAATAAGGGGTTTTTTTTTAAGCTCCCTAATAATAACAATTTTCTGTATAAAGAACATTAAAAAATGTAATATTGCTTCAGGTCCCTAACCAAAATACCTGCGCATTTGATCAATTTCTTGGACCAAAATACCCTACGTCTGTTCATCTTCAGATGAGTTGATTTTTTTGACCTGAATGGTGCAATTTCAATGCATGTTTAAACCTTTTCAATCTCAATTTTTATTATTTCTGGTTGTAGGAATGAGAGATGATTCAAAGGAATTTGCGTTGGAATTGTTCGATGCTCTGAGCAGACGACGAAGGTTGAATGTTGACAAGATCAGCAGAGATGAGCTTTACGAGTATTGGTCTCAAATCACTGATCAGAGCTTCGATTCTCGACTCCAGATCTTCTTCGACATGTATGCATTATTATTTTTTCTTTTCAAAAAAATTTAATAGATGTATATATATATGATACATACATATATATATATATATATACAATTTGTTGCTTACTGTCTTGACTAGTATATATATGATAATTAATCAATTAAGACCATTTGCAACCATAATCAAACAGTCACTCTTGGTTATCTTATCTATGGTTGCAAACATATATATATATATATGATACATACATATATATATATACAATGTCAGCACATATATATATATATATATATATCCAGTGTTGAATATAACATCTTCAGGTTCAAAATTTCTCTGAGTGTTGAATATAACGTCTTTTGATTTTTTGGGTTTAGTAGAATTGGAGTTGTTT